TGGAGTGGGGAATGGTTAACGGAAGGAAACAAAGAGTAGGGATAAACGGGTCCTTTTCAGATCTCTCTCTCATCGATCAGACAAAAATGGAGTCAATTCACTTTACAGTCTGTTCCGTGAAGCACTTTGAGGCGTCTCGAAGACGTGAAAAGCTCCAGATCAAACCCAAGGAATATTATTATCATTGAAGGAGAGGTGTACATGGGTGTTACTGGGTGGAGGAAGGTTGTGTCTACAAGTAAACACTTGTGTCTACAAGCACTCAGTGTGTCCAAGGTTGGACCACGCCAAGTAATTCACACGGGGCTGAAACCAAACCAAAGGATAAGTTGAGACATTTATTGCCTTCGGAAATGAATCAAGTGACACCCAACATTGCCTTTGATCTCTTTTACAGTTGTGAATAACAGAGTATTGTATGAGTAATAATAATAATAATAATCCTGGCGTTTCATGCAGCCCCTCATCCCGCCTTTGACAATTGGCTGCCGTGTTTCTCCCACAAAACATACAGTCACTACACTTCACAGTGTGTTCTGTGAAGCGCTTTGAGACGTCGCAACAACGTGATAAGGCGCCGGGTCAAATGTAAGGATTGTTAGAAACACCTTAAAAAGGGGACTGAAAGGATTGGCACAGACACAATGGGCCGAATGGCTTCCTTCTGTGCTGTAAATGTCTTTGGTTCCAGGGGTGCAGAGATTTGTAAGTTACACCCTTTAAATGAAACGTGAATCCTGAATTTGACAACTTTATTTAGCCGGGTGTCTGTCACACACGGAAACCCGTCACCGTGACCGGCCGGGTGTCTGTCACACACGGAAACCCGTCACCGTGACCGGCCGGGTGTCTGTCACACACGGAAACCCGTCACCGTGACCATCCGGGTGTCTGTCACACGCGGAAACCCGTCACCGTGACCGGCCGGGTGTCTGTCACACACGGAAACCCGTCACCGTGACCAGCCGGGTGTCTGTCACACACGGAAACCCGTCACCGTGACGCCGGGTGTCTGTCACACACGGAAACCCGTCACCGTGACCATCCGGGTGTCTGTCACACACGGAAACCCGTCACCGTGACCGGTCGGGTGTCTGTCACACACGGAAACCCGTCACCGTGACCGGTCGGGTGTCTGTCACACACGGAAACCCGTCACCTTGACCAGCCGGGTGTCTGACACACACGGAAACCCGTCACCGTGACCAGCCGGGTGTCTGAGACACACAGAAACGGTGTTTGACACACACGGAAACCCGTCACCGTGACCAGTCGGGTGATCATAAAACCTTTACCCGCTGGGTCGAGAGCGGGCGCTAGAGATGATTGCTTTGAGCATCAACAATATGGATGTGTCTTCCCTCAGCCTGAAATATTTATATTATTCTCCTGGTGTAAAGTTACCAGAAGAGGAAGATAGTGTCTTCAGACATTTCTATCACAAGGTTCAGGTGACATCATGGCAAAGAGGACATGTGATAGTCCGTTACTGTCACCTGAGAGGCAACGACTCTCTACCTCGATGTGTTTATTGCCTCACCCATAATTTATACAGAGGCACTCAATGCCTTGAGGAAGTAATCCAGGGCGCTGTCGTTAGTGGAGTGGTGGAGCTCAGCGGTTAGAGCCCTCGCCTCTCCAGCGAGAGAACCCGGGTTCCATTCCCGGGCGAGTTGGGTCGGGTCAAAAGCTTACGCGAGTTTCCTCACTCTGCGCACGCAGACGCGCGCACACACACAGCGGTCAGTGGGAACCCGCCTGTCAGTCAATTGGCGGATCACTTTCCGGGGGTAATAACCCCTTCAATCAATCAATCAATCAATCAATCAATCAATCAATCATTAAACACACAAACACAATAATAATGATTTGGTCGCTCAGTCCACGGCTGTTTGTGGGGACGTTGGTGGGCACAGGACCGGTTGCCTCGTTTCACCCACAAGACACGCGGTCGATGGCTTAATGAGGCGCCGTATCAAATGCGAGGGACGGTATCATCAGTATCACTTGTTAGAAGAGTAATAATAATACCAATAATACTAATAATACTCTGCGCGGATTGTGACGTGGGTAGGAATCGAGTTGCAGCGCACACTGACTGCATCTGTGTTCCCACAACTGCTCCACAACTGCACAGGGGACTGAACGCACTAAATTATGTATTATGAAGCTGATGAAACCACAGATTCCAGAGAGACACAGAGACCGACTCACACTCGAGAGGAAGAGGAAGAGGGAGGAGATGTTTCGTCTGGATACACACACACACACACACACACACTCACTCACACACTCAGACACACTCACACTCACTCACACACTCAGACACTCACTCACACTCACTCACTCACACACTCACTCACACTCACTCAGACACACTCACACACCCACACTCACACACACTCGCTGACACACACACAAACTCACACATACTCGCACACTCAAACACACTCACACTCACACCCTCAGACACACTCACACACACGTACACAAACTCAGACACGTACTCACTCACTCACACACAAACTCAATCATTTTTTCGCCCCAGAGCAGCGCTGGGGGGAGAGAGAGAGAGAGAGAGAGAGGGGTCAAGGGGAAGAGAAGGGACTGTCAACTGCAAGGATCATCGTTAATATTATTATTTATTATTAATTACATTATTAATAATAATAATAATATATCAGTGTGCTGTAGTGATGTGCCTGGTATCTGTTTTTGTTGTTGTAGGAACCTCAAACTTCATTGCTGTGAGCTCCATGGGCTATGGAAGGCTGTGGTACTGTTGGTGTGTATAGGATTGGCCATCCAGATATTCGGGATCAACGGCGGCAAAAGGTACATTTCAGGTTTCACATCCTAATCCGCTTTCTCCGTTAATAATCTGTGTGGCAGCCCGGCTCAGTCCCTGTGTGTGTGTGCGTGTGCGTGTGTGTGTGCATGTGTGTGCGTGTGTGTGTGAGTGTGTGGCAGCCTGGCTCAGTCGCTGTGTGTGTGTGCGTGTGCGTGTACGTGTGTGTGTGCATGTGTGTGCGTGTGTGTGTGAGTGTGTGTCAGCCTGACTCAGTCACTGTGTGTGTGTGTGTGTGTGTGTGTGTGTGCGTGTGTGTGTGCGCGTGTGGCAGCCCGGCTCAGTCGCTGTGTGTGTGCGTGTGTGTGCGTGTCAGCCTGGCTCAGTCACTGTGTGCGCGGGTGTGCGTGTGTGTGTGCGTGTCAGCCTGAGCTCAGTCACTGTGTGTGCGTGTGTGCGTGTGTGTGTGTGTGTGTGTGTGTGTGTGTGTGCGTGTGCGTGCGTGTGCGTGTGTGGCAGCCCGGCTCAGTCGCTGTGTGTGCGTGTGCGTGTGTGGCAGCCCGGCTCAGTCACTGTGTGTGTGTGTGTGCATGTGTGTGCGTGTGTGTGTGAGTGTGTGGCAGCCCGGCTCAGTCGCTGTGTGTGTGTGTGTGTGTGTCAGCCTGGCTCAGTCCCTGTGTGTGTGTGTGTGTGTGTGCGTGTGTGTGCGTGTGCATGTGTGGCAGCCCGGCTCAGTCCCTGTGTGTGTGCGTGTGTGTGTCAGCCTGGCTCAGTCCCTGTGTGTGTGTGTGTGTGTGTGTGCGTGTGTGTGTGTGTGCGTGTGTGGCAGCCCGGCTCAGTCGCTGTGTGTGTGCGTGTGTGTGTCAGCCTGGCTCAGTCCCTGTGTGTGTGCGTGTGCGTGTGCGTGTGTGGCAGCCCGGCACAGTCGCTCGCGCTCTCACCTCAGAGTCAGAAGGTTTCAGGCTCGAGTCTCCAGGTCAGGACTTGGAATCCCAGAGTCTAAGTTTCCCCTCCGGTGCGTGTGTTGCATTGTCGGAGACTCCGTCCTCTGAACGAGACGCTAAAACTTACGTCTGTGCCCTGTTCGGGGCGGAGGTTAAAGATCTCCCTCGGAGCTGTCGGGGAGGGGGAAGAGAAGGGGGTCTCTCTCTCTCTCTGTCTCCTGGTGTCTTGGCCAACAAAGCCCCCAAATAAAAATGGTCACTCACTTGATGGCGGTTTCTCTTCCACAGCTGAACCCAAATTAGCCGCCACTGACATCACTTCCTGCCCATTCCCCCCCTTTCCTCCCCAACCCTAAAAATGTAATGGGGTCACTTCAAGCCCCGACTGTTTGTTGGGGGACGTCGCCCGGCGCTATTGGCTGCCGTGTTTCGCCCCATCACAGGTTATTACAGTTACGATTATTATTATCTTTGATTGAGGCTGAAATCCTCTACGTTGGATGCGGATGGCGAGCGGGGAAGGGCCTGCAGCCCCCAGACCCACATTGTGTTCCTGAAGACCCACAAGACGGCAAGCAGCACCATCCTGAACCTGCTGTATCGCTTCGGGGAGGCCAGGAACCTGAGCTTTGCCCTCCCCCGGGGCTACCAGCTGGGCTACCCCAAGCCCTTCAGGGCCGTTGACATCAACCACTACAGTCGAGGGAGGAACGTGGATTATCACATCATCTGCAATCACATGCGCTTTCATCACGGAGAGGTACAATGAGGCTGGATGTGTCTCCTCTCCCCACCATTGGTGGTCAGTCTCTCTGCCCCCATCCCCCCCTCCCCGACCCCCCCCCACCCCATCACACTCTGGAACTCTACCCCCTCTCCCTCTCTCAGGGTCCCATCTGAAGACCTTCCTCTTCGACCGTACCTTCGTCCACCCCACTCCCCCACCCCTCACTCCCCCCACCGGCCTCCACCCCTTCTGATCCCAGCTCCCAGCTCGAATCCCAAATCCCTGATTGTCCAGCACCCTGGGATGTCCTTCCCACGTGAGGGGCTCTGAACAAGTGGCTGTTGTTGTTGTTCTATTTCTCCTTATATTCTGTCTGTTTCCAGGTTGAGAAGGTGATGCCCAGAGGAACTTTCTACTTCTCCATCCTCCGTAACCCGGTCACATTAGCGGAGTCGGCTTTCACCTATTACAAGGGCTCGAGCTCAGCCTTCAGCAAAGTCCAGAGACTGGAGCAATTTTACAGAGATCCCTGGAGATACTACAGCATCTCAGAGACCGGCAGCCATTACGCCAGGAACCTGATGTGGTTTGACTTTGGCCACGACCACAACGCCAACGTGACAGAGCACTATGTGGCCGCGGTGCTGAAGGAGATCGAGGAGACCTTCCACCTGATCCTGTTGGCCGAGTACTTTGACCAGTCCATGGTGTTGCTGAGGCAGGCTCTGTGCTGGGACCTGGACGACCTGGTGACCTTCAAGCTGAACCTCAGGAGCAACAAGACGGTGAGCAGATTGTCTGCCGAGACCGTGGGGCAGATCAGGGCTTGGAACGCCCTGGACTGGAGCTTGTATCTGCACTTCAACCGGACATTCTGGCAGCGGGTGGACAGGTACGGGCAGGAGAGGATGAGGCGCGATGTCCAGATCCTACGGGAGAAACGACAGGAGATGATGGAGCTGTGTCTGCAGGGTGGCCAGGCTGTGGAGGCCGCTCAGATCCAGGACAAGAACATCAAACCCTTCCAATATGGTCGTGCCAAAATCATGGGCTACAACCTCAAGCCATCGCTCAACAACCACACGAGGGAGAGGTGTGTGAGGATGGTGATGCCAGAGCTACAGTACAAGGACTTGTTGGCCACAAGGCCCTCCTATTCACATGTCCAGAGGCTGGTGGTCAACCTGGGAGCCAGGAGCAACCAAACTGAGAGCTCGAGGAACGGAGTGACCCAAGGCTCTCATTGAGGAGCTTTGAGAGTGGGAATTGGGATTGGAATTAGATAAAGAAAAATCCTTGCAATGGGAGACGTAGACTATGTCTCCTAGACTGGGGAGAGGGTGGAGGGGGAAGGAGGGGAGACAGTGGAGAGGGAAGGAGAGGAAAGGGTGGAGGGGAAGGAGGGGAGAGGGGAGGAGGGGAGAGGGGAGAGGGAAGGAGCTGCAATAATGAAGATGTTGATCGCAATCTTTCAACTGTTGCTGAACCAACGAGATAACCTTGTGTGTTCTCTGCCTTGAAGGTACACGACGATTGCGTCAACTGTGTTTTTTATACCATATCTACATGAACAGTCAACGTTAACTGTCTCCATGTCCGCAAACTAATGACCCATTAATTGGGGTCCCTCGGAGCTGAACTGGCCCCAAGGTGACCTGCCTGGCAACGGAATGTGGGAATCGTGCCCCCACCCCCCCAACCCCGTCATGACGGTCTCTTATCCCAATCCCTGAGCCAGGAGGGGCCGCAGTATTCCAGGGCACCAACCAACCAACCAACCAACCAACCAACCAATCAATCAATCAATCAATCAATCACGGCTTCTGTTTGACTTGTACATTGAAACTCCTTTCTCCTTTCCAATCATATCGCAGCATCTTTAATGACAGCTATCTCTTAATACTTTCAACCACTGCTCAAATCAGTACTCACGGATTAGTACTTGCAACCACGACCAAGTAGTACTCGTCAACTCTTGATTGGTACTAAGTACTGAGTAACCATTTTACTGAATTATTGTCTGGTGGTACTTCCAACCGTGACCGAATTAATACTTTCAAATTAGTACTTGCAACCACTAACACATTATTACTTGAAAAGAGGTACTTGCAACCACTGCTAGATTATTACTCTCAAATAAGTACTTATGGGTTAGTACTTGCAAATTAGTACTCACAACCACTACGAAATTTTTCCTTCGAATTACTCTCAATTTAATTATTACCACCAAATTTTTACTTGAAACAGGTAGTTGAAACCACTGCCAATTTAGTACTATATTTTCAAATAAGTAATAATAATAATAATGATACAGCGCTGTCTCATGTCTTCGAGATGTCTCAAAGCGCTTCACAGGATACACTGTAAAGTGGAGTGACTGTGTATTTTGTGGGTGAAACGTGGCAGCCAAGTGCTTGCAAATTAGTACTCTCAACCGCTATCACATTACTGTTTGCGAGTTAGTACTTGCAAATAAGTACTTGTACCTACGCACCACCAGATTATTACTTAAAAATAAATACTTTCAACCACTGGCAAATTGATACTTTCAAAAAATACTTTCAGATTAGTACTCTCAACCATATTATTACTCCACCCAGCTGGAACTTCAGTGTGAGACTAGAGGGGTAACAGGTCCTGATGTGGGGCTCGAACCCACAACCTTCTGAGGAGGCGAGCGAGGGGGCTTTGGGGGAGAGAGTCTCTTTGAAAGAATCCACACTCTCCGCTTTGCCCACTCCGCAAGTAGTCTACGTGGGGGTAACGACTGAGACAGGAATGAGTCCGACACCTCCCGACGCTGCGACTGTACACGTGTCCGAGACGCACAGGTTTATTATTCTTAATAACAACCCTTGCATTTGGTACAGCGCCTGATCACACCTTCGAGACGTCTCAAAGCGCTTCGCAGGATATACCGCAAAGTGGAGTGACTGTGTATTCCGTGGGGGGGGGGGGGGGGGGTGGCGGTTAAGAGGCAACACACACAATGCGGGTTTGCTCAGCGAGTGCTGTAATGGACTGAGATACGGTTGATTCCCAAATCTTTTACTCAAAGAACAACAGCCACTTTCAGCACAGAGGGCGGAAATTCGGTCCTCGTGTGTCTTTGTTCGCTCCTTTAAGAATAATCCTTTCCGTCCCCATTCCCCTTCTGCCTTCGCCCTCAATTCCCCCCCCACCCCCCACCCCCCCCCCACCCCATTCCCCCCCTCTCACTGACGCCTCTTTCAGGCATTTATCTGGTTCTCCGAAGTCCCGTAGTGTAATGGTTCGAGCCTTCACCTCGTAAGTGAGGGGACCGAGGTTCGATTCGATTCCCGGGCGGGTCAGGTCAGTGCGAAACCTGAGGCAAGTTTCCTTACTCACACACACACATACAGATACACACACAGATACACACAGATACACACACAGACACACACAGATACACACACACAGATACACACACACACAGACACACACACACACACACACACACGCCTCTGTTTACCTAGGAATTGTTAAGTCGATTTGCGGATGGCTTTTGGGGGGTAATAATCCCTCCGCAAAATAATAATAATTTTGCTCACTCGATCGACAACTTGTCTGTGGGAATCCGCTGTGCGCAATTGGCTGCCGCGGTTTGCCCCCAAAAAATACACAACAGCTCCGAAAATGTATATATATAATATGATATAATATACAGTCCGCAAAACATACAGTCACTCCACTTCAGGGCATATTCTTTGAAGCGCTTTGAGACGTCTCGACGAACCCGATAAAGCTCTATCAAACACAAGGATTATTATTATTATTATTATTCCCCGATAAGCAGCTGATTCGGTTCCTTATTGACTTTCCTGACGGCTGAGGGTGTGTGTGTGTGAGAGAGGTATATATTATATTATATTATATTATATTGCCCGGCTTATCTTACTTGTTATGGCTTTATAGATGGCTTCCTCGCCACTAATCTGCCTCCATCCACTCATCCACCTCCACCCCTCCCTCCCTCCCCTCTCCTCCTTCCCTCCCTCCCCTCTCCTCCCTCCCTCCCTCCCCTCCCTCTCCCTCCTGTATCCCTTCTCTGTTCCTGTGTCAGTGGGAGGTACAGAGTGTTGGAGACACACACACAGTCTTGGACTCCATTCATTCATCCACTCTGTCCTCTTCTTGGAGAGCTCTGTCTCTCTGTGTCTGTCTCTCTCTCTCTTTCTCTCTGTGTGTCTCTCTGTGTGTCTGTGTCTCTCTGTGTGTCTGTGTCTCTGTGTGTGTCTGTGTCTCTGTGTGTGTCTGTGTGTCAGTGCCAGGACACTAGGGAGGACTGTGTCTGTGTCTGTCTCCCTCTGTGTGTGTGTGTGTGTCTCTCTCTGTGTGTCTGTCTCTCTCTCTCTCTGTGTGTGTGTCTCTCTGTGTCTGTGTGTCTGTCTCCCTCTCTCTCTCTGTGTGTGTCTCTGTGTCTGTGTGTCTGTCTCCCTCTCTCTGTGTCTCTGTGTCTCAGTGCCAGGACACTAGGGAGGTCTGTGTCTGTGTCTCTGTCTCCCCCTCTCTCTCTCTGTGTCTGTCTCCCTCTCTCTCTCTCTGTGTGTGTCTGTGTCTCAGTACCAGGACACTGGGGAGGACTGTGTCTGTGGGGCTGAGTTGACCCCCTGGTGTCTCTCTGTGTGTGTCTGTCTCTCTGTCTCTCTCTGTGTGTGTGTGTCTGTGTGTCTCTCTCTGTCTGTGTCTGTGTCTCTCTCTGTGTGTCTGAGTGACCCCCTGTGGTGTCAGTGGCATTTCTCGGGGCCTGAGCTCTGCTGTTGGAGTTGGACATTGAGGACCTTCTCTCACAGAGGAGAAGATGCGCCGCAAACGCCGCAAGTGAGTGCCCCACATTCCCGCAATCCATCCCATCCGCGGGCGCACCGCGGGGATTGGCGTGTGTTTGCGACATGTGTTAAGCTCTGGAGGGAGTGGGGGGAGAGGGGGGGAGAGGGGGGGGAGAGAGAGAGAGAGAGAGAGAGGGGGGGGAGAGAGAGAGGAGGGAGGGAGAGGGGGGGAGGGAGAGAGAGGGAGAAGGGGGGAAAGGGGGGAGGGAGAGAGGGGGGGAAGGGGGGGAGGGAGGAGAGAGGGGGGGGGAGAGAGGGGGGGAAGGAGGGAGGGGAGAGAGAGAGGGGAGAGGGGGAGAGAGAGAGAGGGGGAAGGGGGGAAAGGGGGGAGGGAGAGAGGGGAGAAGGGGGAGGGGGGGAAGGAGGGAGGGAGAGGGGGGGGGGAGAGAGAGGAGAGAGGGGGGGGGGGAGGGAGGGAGAGAGAGGGGGGGGAGGAGGGAGGGAGAGAGAGGGGGGAAGGGGGGAAAGGGGGGAGGAAGAGAGAGGGAGGAGGGAAGGATTTAAAGCACAAGATCTCTCTCTCTCTCTGTGGGTATCATCCCCTGAAACACTCACACATGTAGGGAGGGGTGAAATGGACATGTTTTGGGGGAAATAGGGGGTTAATGGGGGTGTGGGGAGGGGGAGGGTAAAAAGGGAAGGGGAGAGGGCTGAACAGAGAGGGGGGAATGTGTGTGTGAGAGAGAGAGAGAGAGAGAGAGGGACAATGGAGGGAAGGAGAGAGGATTTAAGAGAGAGAGATGGGGGGGGTGTGGGGGGGAGAGGAAGAGTGTGAGAGAGGATGTGTTAAAGGGCAGGAGGAAGGGGGATAGAGACAGGTGCCGGAGGGAATAATAATAATAATAATGATCCCGGCATCTGACCCGGCACCTCATCACGTCATCGAGACGTCTCATAGCACTTCGCAGGATACCCTGGGAAGCGGAGTGACTGTGCGCGTGTCTCTACCCCCCACCACCCCCCCCCCCCCCCCCCCCCCACCCCCTCCCGCCTCACCGACCAAATCCTCTCCTTTCTCGGTTCTCCGTTCGATTGTATCATCCAAACACTAAACGCTCCTCAAATTTCGGGTTCATTCGCAATCGAACGGCAATAGTTTGAGCCTCCGGCGGCGACTGGAGTAAAAAAGAGCCTCTGTGACATATTGTTTTTATACATAGAAAAACGGTGTCTTTGACAATATAACCGGAAGAGGTATATAACTGCCCCCCAAAAATTTGCTCTTTAGTTTAACAAATGCGTCCCGTCTTTTAAGTCGCTCCCCGAGCCGCTTTGTGAGTCTGTCTCCAGTTGCTGCCGCCGCCATCAGTCACCTCCTGCGTTCCTCAATCGCGCAGGACTGACGGCGAGGGAGTGACATTTGCGGGGACGTCGCCGGGCGCGATCGGCTGCCGCCTTTTCGCCCGCGAAATATACGGTCGTTTCACTCTGCAGTGTATCCTGTGAAGCGCTTTGAGGCGTCTCGAAGACCTGATCAGGCGCCGTAGCAAATGCGAAGGATTATTATTATTATTATTATAATTATTATTATTATTAAGGCAGGTGAAAGGTGAGGTTAGATCATTTTAATCCCTTCATTTGTTTGACACAGCGCCTTATCACGTCTCAGAGCGCTTCGCAGAACGTACTGCAAAGTGAATTGACCGTATAATTTGTGGGCGAAAGGCGGCAGCCGTGGAGAGCGAGTAATTTTATTCATCTGGCGGATTGTTGGTCAGGACGCTGAGAGAGAGGGAGAGGGAGAGAGAGAGAGAGGGAGGGAGAGAGAGAGAGAAACTTAGCGCTCTTTTCCCACATGCTGAGCCGGGTTGACACACACCTCATTCCTTCTCTCCAAACGGATACAGACCTGATAAGGAAACTGGTGCCGTGTGATATTGCAATATTCCTACTCGTTGTAAATAGTTTGTTTGCTCAATTTCAATAACGATAATAAGGAATGTTTGACTCTGTTTTGATAGTCAATAAAACTAATCTCTGGTTACCGGTTCGCTGCACGTTACGTATTTGCTTCTAAGTTTAGTTGTCGCTCACTCGAACTCTGGCCACTGTGAGTCAGGAGGTTGTAGGTTCAAGAACCCACACCCACACACACACACATTGGGGGCTTTGAGCTCACAGTTCAGGCTAACACTTCAGCACAGCACTGGGGGGGATGGGGGGAGAGAGAGAGAGAGAGAGAGAAACTCCCTTCCCGTTTCCTGACAACGCCCCGGGAGATTTGCTTGGGGTCAGCCGGGCGCCTGACACGAGCGGAAACCCATCACCTGCTTAAGAGTCTCCAAACCCAACTGAGAATTCCTGGCCTCCCACCTACACCTGGAAACCCCCAGAGAGAGATTGTTGGAATGCAATGCTCTCTCTCTCTCTCTCCCCCCCCTCCCCCGGAGGGACGCCCCCTGCTTACCTAATTCTGGAGAGCATTAGGCGCAGGTTGGCTGACGAGAGCCAAGGCTTTGGGGGAGCCCAGAGTGTGCGTTGGGGGTTACTGCTGGAATCTGACCACTAAACTGTGAGACTGTGAGCTCCGAGTCCCTGACGTGTGTGTGTGTGTTGGGGGTGAGGCGGGCGGTGGGGTGGGGGGTGGGGGGGGGGTTCCGGTGTGAGCATCCGAGCCACTGGCTGACACCTTTCGTCCCTTACCAGTTGTTTGCGCTGTGTTTACAGGAAGCCCTTCTTGCTGAGGTTCTGCACGCTGCAAGCGGTGTGGATGGGAATCGTGCTCCTTATGGCGTTGGCGTTGGCGATCCAGACCTTGGGCATCGCAGTCACCAAACGGTTTGTTTCTCTCACTCACTGATGGTTTCCCCTTTAGGGCAGGTGAACTATCCATCCGCGCCAGCACCGAAGATGGCCGCCCTGACCCTCCCCCCCCCCCCCCCCCCACCAAACAGGTAGAGCGCCAGCATCAAAGACGGCCGCCCCACCTCAACCGAGACACTAAACCTCTCTCCCCATGTGTCTCTTTCTCTCTCTCTCCCTCCCTCTCCCCCCCCCACCCCCGGGTGTCCTGATCGACAATCCCCCCGATAAACTCGCTCGCTCGCTTCACGCCTGTTTACAGGGACGTCGCTGGGGCGCAAATGGGCCGCCGGGTCACACACAGTCACTACACTTTGCAGCGAATCCCGTGAAGCACCTTTGAGGGGTCCCGTGGACATGTCGAGGTGCTTGGGTCAAGTGCAAGGATTATTATTATGACATAATTATTATCTGTGAGACTCAATCCCCGGTGGGAATCGATCACAGGTTAATCAGTGCCGTCTCCATTTAAATAAGATTTTAGTTACACGGTTTTCGTCCCTTTCAGATGAATGGCACAAAGACCGGCGTTTGTTAAAGGCTCTCGAGCGCCGTTTGTATTTTTATTTTATTGTTTTTTTTCAGATTTTTCATCCCAAAGATAGTCCACCGTTACTCTCACTGATAAAAATGGCCAACAGTCAGGTCATCGGGTCATAATTCCACTTCCTGTCCATTGGAGGAGAGAGGAGGAGCGAAGGGAGAGAGAGAGAGAGAGAGAGAAGGGGATGGGGTTAGAGAGCTCCAGTGTGAGGGGGAGTGAGCGCCATCTTTTAGCCACCAAGCCCCGAAACTCTGGATCTCTCTCCCTCTATCCCTCCGCCTCACCCACTCCCACCACTCTTTATCCGTCTTCGGATCGCACCTGAAGACCTTCCTCTTCGACCGTACCTCCGATGACCTCCTCTCTCTCCCCCACCCCCACCCCACCCCAGCTCGGGGGGGGGGGGGGGGGGAATCTTGTTCCGAGACGTTGCTAAAGTATTTATGGCTTAAGCCGCAGTTGTGGGTGAGATCATGTACTTGTCACCAGGGCTGTGTCTCTGCTGCGTCGTTTATCAGCGTTTTATGAGTGTTCAGTAAAGCTCTGAGGTTACAGACAGCTGTGACATCCCGTCAGGAGATTAACTGGGATTAAAGCCGAGTATGGTTGGGCTCCAGGCGCACGACAAGCCACCCCGCCCCCCCCCCCCCCCACCCACCCCGGCTACAGACTCCGTCGCCGACCTTACAGCCCAGAGACACGCAACACAGGCACAACTTCCAGCTGGCGTAGTGTAGTGACTGTGCGATACGTGCCGTCAAGCGAGCCAGCGGTTTTATCCGGGGGATTGTCAGCCGGGACGCCGGGGGTGGGGGAGGGGAGAGAGGGAGGCTGGGGTGGGGTGGGGGGGGAGAAACTCACACGGGGGGAGTGAGTGAGGTTTAGGACGGCGTCTCCGAGTTTGCACCCACAGCCTCCTGACTCGGAGACAAAAGCGTTACCGGCTGCTCCAGGCTGATCGATGCCCGAGACGAACATTAATCTCTCTCCCCTTTTCCCCCCCTCTCTCTCTCTCTCTCTCTCTCTCTCTCCCCTCTCTCCCTCTGCCCCTGAAGGATTCCCTCTGCGCGGCTGCCAGGAGCTGAGGGGTTCGCGGGGGAGCAGAGAGGGGCAGCCAGTCAGCCGTGCGCCCCCAAGACCCACGTCATGTTCCTGAAGACCCACAAGACGGCGAGCAGCACCGTCCTGAACCTGCTGTATCGCTTCGGGGAGGCCAGGAACCTGAGCGTGGCTCTGCCCAGAGGCTACCAGTTTGGCTACCCCATGCCCTTCAACTCTCGCAGAATTAAGCTCTACAACTCGTTCAGGCACCAGGTTTATCACATCATGTGCAATCACATGCGCTTTTACCGTCCTCAGGTAATCCCGGCGCTCTGCGGCGTATTCATCATCATAATAATCCATAATAGCTCATAAGAACACTTAACAACAATTGATCATTAATAATTATTGCAAATAATCAATAACAATTACAAATAGTTAATAATAATTGCAAATATTAATAATAATGGCAAATAGTTAATACTAATAACTAATAATAATCGCCAATAATAATTAATAATAATCCTCGCATTTGATTCAGGGCCTTATCACGTCTCGAAGCGCTTCACACGCTACACGTTAAAGCGCATTGACTGTATATTTGTGGGCGTTTTATCAAATGCAAGGTTTATTAGTATTGTTATTATAATAGGCTCCGACAATCAGCACGAGGGCAACCAGCCCAGACCTGGCCCTCAATCTCTCTCTCTATCTACCTCTATCTCTCTGTCTGTTCCTCTCTCTGTCTCTCTGTCTCTCTCTCGGTCTCCATCTTTCTCTCTCTGTCTCTCTCTCTCTCTCTCTCTCTTGTTCTAATTCTGTCTAAAGGTCCAATGATATGTTTGCTTTGAGCCGCTGTATTTAGTAGAGAGAAAGCGATTACACAATCGCGGCCCAGAGTTGGGAATCCTTCCCAGCAATTCAGCTATTTATCCAGTGAAAGATTGTGTTATCTGGATATATAGTGCCTTTTTGGTCACCCGCAGCACAAAGTACACTGCGCTTGATATATTTATGGATATTAGTTTCAGGAGTTGTTTATATCACACGTGGCATTTTCACTCTGAGTCAGTGAATAATAATATTAATCATTACTAATAATTAGTGTACAGAGGCTGCGGGTCAAACCGTGTACTGAAATCAACTGTGGGGAGGAATGGAGGCAGTGAATGTGAGTGAGTGTGAATGCCTGTGGGTGAGTGTGTGTCTGTGTGTGAGTGTGTGTCTGTGTGTGAGTGTGTATGAATGTGTGTGAGTTTGTGTATGTGTCTGTGTGTGAGTATACGAATGTGTGTCTGTGTGTGTGTGTGAGTGTGTATGAATGTGTGAGTGTGTATGAATGTGTGTGAGTGTGTGTCTGTGAGTGTGTGTCTGTGTGTGAGTGTGTGTATGTGTGTGAGTTTGTATGAATGTGTGTGAGTGTGTGTCTGTGAGTGTGTGTCTGTGAATGTGTGTCTGTGTGTGTGTGAGTGTGTATGAATGTGTGTGAGTGTGTGTCTGTGTGTGAGTGAACCTCTTTACTTCCCAAGTCTCTGTCCATCTCCCTTTTCCACCTCAATCAATTCCCTCAGTTCCTCAGTATCTCTCCCCCCACTTTGAGAACATTGCACTGTCTCAGCCCCTGTTCCCGGGCGGTCATTTCTTGCTGCTGTTTGAGGCCTGGGGTCACGATGGCTTTGGCTGGAGAGGATTAGTGACCGGCCGGCTGGGCCGGTGTCTGTCTGTCTGTCTGTTTCCAGGTTGAGAAGGTGATGCCCAGAGGAACTTTCTACTTCTCCATCCTCCGTAACCCGGTCACATTAGCGGAGTCGGCTTTCACCTATTACAAGGGCTCGAGCACAGCCTTCAGCAAAGTCCAGAGACTGGAGCAGTTTTACAGAGATCCCTGGAGATACTACAGCGTCTCAGAGACCGGCAGCCATTACGCCAGGAACCTGATGTGGTTTGACTTTGGCCACGACCACAACGCCAACGTGACAGAGCACTATGTGGCCGCGGTGCTGAAGGAGATCGAGGAGACCTTCCACCTGGTCCTGTTGGCCGAGTACTTTGACCAGTCCATGGTGTTGCTGAGGCAGGCTCTGTGTTGGGACCTGGACGACCTGGTGACCTTCAAGCTGAACCTCAGGAGCAACAAGACGGTGAGCAGATTGTCCACCGAGACCATGGGGCAGATCAGGGCTTGGAACGCCCTGGACTGGAGCTTGTATCTGCACTTCAACCGGACATTCTGGCAGCGGGTGGACAGGTACGGGCGGGAGAGGATGAGGCGCGATGTCCAGATCCTACGGGAGAAACGGCAGGAGATGATGGATCTGTGTCTGCAGGGTGGCCAGCCTGTGGAGGCCGCTCAGATCCAGGACAAGAACATCAAACCCTTCCAATACGGTCGTGCCAAAATCATGGGCTACAACCTCAAGCCATCGCTCAACAACCACACGAGGGAGAGGTGTGTGAGGATGGTGATGCCAGAGCTACAGTACAAGGACTTGTTGGACTCGAAACTGTTTCCGTCGACCATGGTAAACAACCTGGCACGAAGGAGACAGCAGCAGCCGTGAGATGGGCATCGTGGTGTCAGTGACAGAGAGACTGAGAGAACATTATCTGTGGTTCCCGGACACTGACCCCCAACAGCCCAAACCCGCAAAAGTATTTCTCCACCCAGCACCAGGAACTTATTCTGTCCCGTATCCAAACTTTTCCTTCCCCAACCCTCCCCTGACCCTCTCCCCCCTTCCCCCCTACTCCACCCCTCTCTCCCCCCTCTCCCCTCCCCCCCTCTCCCCCGTCTCTCCCCTCTCTCTCCAAACGCATGTGTTTTTAAGAAACCAAAAAAGTTGACAATGGGAATGCGCAGTTGGGGTTAATTTGCTGTATTTCTTCACAGATTTCTCTCTCGATTAAGAAATGGTCAGGAAATAATGCAAAGCCTGAGCCGGCGGTTATTTATTTAATGGGATCAATAAGTTTTGATGCGGGTTGCTCAGCACCTCGTTTAAAACCTTTGACTTTGATGTGGAATTATTGCCCAGGCGAATGAACGAAATCACGGGCAAGTTCATGGTTGCCATGGTTTCCTCTTTGAAGCCTTTGCTGGCTTCCAGTGATTGAGGTCTCCACTTCTTAACGATGGATCGCATGGCCCACAGAAGCAGTGTGGAGCCTTCCCTGCTGCAGTCTGGGAGCAAAAGGGGCAAAGCAAACTGGCACATGGACATCTTAAACATCATCTCCTGCTGCAGGAAGCTATCGGCACAGAGAAAAACAGCAGTGATGACATCTAACGGATTGCACCAAGTATCATCCGCCTGCTCCTGCAGGTCAAAGATGTCAGAAAAGTCGGTTTGTTCAGCAT